TTTAGATATACTCTCCCCATCGAAGACTTCACGCTGCTGTGTAACCCTGACTCACAAACTCTCGTCGAAGATTTGACAATTTATGAGATCCGTGGTGTTTTCATGCCTGACAACCGCCCAGATGAGCTAACAGATAAGAAAACCGAAGTTTCTGATCTCCGAAGATATCAAAAGTATTTATGGAAGGATAGATATCTTTCTGTCATAATTTGATTTTCTTACTATTCTTGTCTTATTCTCTGTTTATATTGATATTAACGCACTATTTACACGTACTTCCTTCAAGTAAATGCTTTCAACTTTACAACTTTCAGGTGAATACATGGTGCCCCTACTCCTAATCAGCCTATTCCTTGCGACGCTTTCACTTGCAGGTATGGCATATTATATTAAGAATGAATGATAAGAAGTATTCAAATTCTTATTTCAGTCGATATTTCCGGTATAAGTGAGATAATGAACAACTTTCAGCGAACGTAGTCTTCTCTGAGCTCTCTGTCAATTTCTGCAACTACGATGCCTATGATACCACCAGTGTTTGACTTCGATACTGAATTTGCGAAGTTGTCCAGAACGTGTTTGAGCAATGAGGATCATGAGCAGATTTGGAACAACACTATGCATCATTATATTGCACGGATACAAAATCTAGTTTTGATTGAAACAGCGGTAGAAATTATTGGCCGGAAAGAGATGAGAACGGCACTCAACTTCTCGCCGCGCCGTAGCTGGAAATCCTGGGGAGTTCGCTTTGTGGAGAAATTCGGGAAAACTCGCTTCTCTCCAAAGCCTAGTGAAAGCGAACTGGCATCGGCGACTACTATTGAAGCTTACTACAATCTTGTAGAACCGCGCTTCGTACTCTCCATTCCTGGTATGTTCTATTTGGAGGAAAGTATGACTCCTGCCATTGCATTCTTAGACAATCGTTTCCCCTTCATTCGTGCATATTTTAGGCGTAGGTTTGAAGAAATCCGTCAACGTGATGGAGGAGAGATAAATAGAAAATTAGTTGATGATATGATCGAGAAGAACGAAGAGA